GTGCCTCCTTCCAGCTATCCTGAAGGATATATTGTGACCACTCCTACTTCCTGAATTCCTGTCTTCCTTTGGCAACTGTGATACCACACCACAAATTCTTGAGGCTGCGTGGGTGCCCCCTCCCAGAGCCTTGCTCCTTTCTCATTCCTTCAGGCTCTTCTTCTTTAATATTTATTTCATTTCAGAGTCCTGTTGGGTTTGTCCTCCTTTGTTACTTAATTCATCTCTCTGAATGATGTCAATCACTTTCATTCAACATTTACTTATGCCCTCTCTGTCAGGCATTGCTTTAGGCACTGACTACTTGCAATTTCTTAGTACACGCCGCCATGAATTACAAATGTGTCCCACCCAGAGTGATGTATAAAACGGCCTCCTTGAACTTGATCTTGGGTACCTCCAACTTTGATTGTTGAGAACTGAGCTCATTATTCTCCTCTCCAGATCTATTCCTCTTCCTGGGTTTTCCTGTTCTAGCAAATCATGCACAAATAGTTGCCTGCACCTGAAAGCTGGAGTCATCCCATACCCTTCCTCTCCCACCAAGAAAGAAAGAAGTCTTATCTCTCTGCTTCCTACCTATGTCCAAGCTTCACTCACTCCTTCCCATCACTGTCCCCACCACTGCGGTCTCCACTGCAGTCTAAGCTGTTATCATCCTCTCTCTTATAGAAGGCTGCAGCAGGCTCCTAGTTCTCACTGCCTCCTGGCCTTCTGCCAGGGCATTCATTCAGGGGACTCTTCCCATAACAAAAGACAGATGATGTCCATCCAGCTCCCTATGGTTCCTTGGCTCTCAGAATTTAAGGGCTGGGGATGCAGCTCAGTGGTTGAGAGAATTTCCCTACTTCCCTTGTATGCACGAGGCCTTGGGTTCCATCTCGAGTGGTGCAAAAAAGAAGAAGGAGGAGGAGAAGGAGGAGGAGGAGGAGGAGGAGAAAAAGAAGAGGAAGAGGAAGAAGAAGGAGAAGAGGAGGAAGAGGAGAAAGAAGATGGAGGAGGAGGAGGAGGAGAAGAAGAAGAATTAAATTCTGATTCTTCACTATGATTTATAAGGAGAATCATGACTAGGCATCTCTTTCTACTTTTCTGCTTTCATTTCTTCTTTTAAAAAATATTTACTTTTTAGTTGTAGTTGGACATGATACCTTTATTTCACTTATTTATTTATTTTTTAAAATGTGGTGCTGAGGATCAAATCCAGGGTCCCGCATGTGCGAGGCAAGCGCTCTACCGCTGAGCCACAACCCCAGCCCTCTGCTTTCATTTCTCTCCTCCTTTCCTTCATTCTCTTTCACTCTTCCATTTTTCCCTCCCCACTTACTGAGCTCCATTTAGTTCCTTTTCTCTTGTAGTCTCTGGACTTTACCTTGCCTCTGCTGGAACAGACCTTTGCTGCTCCTCCACCCCTTCACCTACAAACTGAGTTTATTATGACCTGCCCCCAAACTGATATTCACCTCCTCTCTCCAGGATCAGCAACACAACCACCGGGGCTGAGGCTAGCCCACACTAATGCTTTCATATGAACTTGCAAAAAGGGTACTATCAAAATAGCACCATTCTTTCCTTCAGGCATCAACAGATCTTACTTTATCCAAGTTGCCTTCCTTGAGCAACTTCAAATCTGGGCAAAGGTCTCTTTTGTGTTGCCAGAGCAAGCCAACAGCATTTATCACAATCTTGGGTAAGTTCCTGTTAACTGGTCTGTCTCCCTCTAAATGTAAGCATTTAAGAAGGCAGAGATCTTGGGACCTAGCATAGTAACTGGCACACAGTAAGTGTTCAAAAAATAAATGTTGAATAAATGAATAAATAGTTGGAAGAATGTAGGATATGAAATCCAAAAATCTTGGTCCTGACTCCCCACTGGACTTTTGGAAAGTCATTTTTTTTAATCTCACTATGTAATATGGAGCTACAGAGTATGACGACTTGAAAACATGGTCCCAAAGTACTTTGACGTTTTTCCTACCGAGAAGTAGGGCCTACGTCTCCTCCCTTATAAACTGGGCTTTGTAATCTCTTGACCCAAAGAGCATGACAAAAATGTTTTGGCAATTTTGGAGCTCCAATCTTAAGAATCTAACAATTTTTCATTTCTCTTGGGATGCTTACTTGTAGAACACAGAAGTGCACCGTAGGGAGAGAACTCCCAGTGCAAAAGCCGCACCTGGAAGGAAGCCAGACATTCCCTTTCATCTTGATTTCTGTAACTTTTTTTTTTTTTTTTTTTTTGTGGGGGTACTGGGTATTGAAACCAGGAGTACTCTGCCACTGAGCTAAACTCCCAGCCCCAATCTCTGTAACTAATCTATAAAACAAATGACCTACCATACCTATTCTGGCACAAAGTGTTGTACATATCAAGTGATCAGTAAACACTGTAGGTCTATGCTGGGCAGAATGTGTTCACAGAATAACCAGGTTGCTCATTCTCAAATAGGTGTAATTGTAACGTTTGTGAGTAAGATTTACCATATAAGGTATAAAACTTTTAGGCAAAGGTTAAAAACAAACAATTAGATGTAAATCTTTGCAACTACAACTATACTACTCAAATGCATGACTTCATTAATTTGACAAGTGTGTTTTGTAACACAAATACAAAGGGAATAAAGCTTAATTAGTCCATCTTTCCCATCATCCCTATATGTCTTTGCATTAGTGCAAATGATAGAAAACAAACTATCAGAAGTGGAGAGAATGCTGTCTTACCTGCTCCCTTTATTTTCTTAAACAAATAGCATAAACAACACACATAATTCTTTCCTTCCTTTTTTTATTCCTTCTGGTACTAGGGATTGAATTTAGGGCACTCTACCACACAGCTATATTCCCAGCCCTTTTTATTTTTTGAGACAAGGTCTCATTAAGTTGCTGAGGCTGGCCTTGAACTTGCAGTCCTCCTGCCTCAGTCTTTTGGTAGAGTCACAGAGTAAAGTAAAGATGAAAACAAAATGACAGTGAATCCTCTGGGAAACAAATAGGCATAGTATTTTTCTTTTTTCAATATTTATTTTTTAGTTATAGTTGGACACAATACCTTTATTTTATTTATTTTTATGTAGTGCTGAGGATCAAACCCAGGGTCTCACGTGTGCTGGGCGAGCACTCTTCCGCTGAGCCACAACTGCAGCCCCAAGGCCTAGTATTTTCCTAGGTGCTGTAATATTAGTTTCTATAGCCAGTGTCTACTGATACTTTTGTTACCGCTGTTGACCGGTGACGAGTCCTTACTTCCCCGAAGTTGAAGAATAACACCAAAGAAGCACGCCGAGGCAAGGTCAGAGTAGAAATTAGAAGTTTTTTAAAGGACAGCAGAAAAGACTTCTCCCGGAGGAAGAAGGGGACCCAAGAGGTGGAATCCGTGGAAGTGCGGTTGTCTCCCCTTTTTATAGTTTTGGTGATGGAATGTGGGTTGAAAGGCCCGAGGGGTGGGACACAGGTGGGCCAAAGAAGTAATCTGGGCCGGAAGGACTTCATTAACACTTCTTGGGATGGGCTATCTTCAAATCTGCTGGGGGCTGTTCATTAACGCTTCTTTGAGGTGGACTTTGGCCTAGGGCCTTTTCGGGACTTCATTAACATTCCATGAGTTGTCCTGCGGCCTTCTCAGCATGGCCTCCATTTTAGATTTCACTCCATATTAGACCAGATCTAACTACACTGACTACCTAACTTTAAATCTGGCTTCACTTTTATTCTTAAGTTCTGTATCACTGTTGCTATTTTCAATTTCTTCTCTCTCTCTCTCTCTCTCGTTCTCTCTAGCTCTTTTTGTTTTAGAGTACCAGGGATTGAACTCAGGGGCACTCAGCCACTGAGTCACATTTTTATCCCTATTTTGTATTTTATTAGAGACAGGGTCTCACTGAGTGGCTTAGCAACTCCCTAAATTGCTGAGGATGGCTTTGGACTCGCAATCCTCCTGCCTCTGCCTCCCTAGCCGCTGGGATTACAGGCATGCCCCACCTCGCTGGGCTGTTTTCAATCTCTTTTTGAACTGTAATATGGGCTGGGTACAGTGGCCTACATCTGTAATCCCAGCAACTCAGAGGCTGAGGATGATCCCAAGTGCACAGCCAGCCTCAGCAATTTAGGCCCTGTCTCAAACTAAAACATAAAAGGGTGTGTGTGTGTGTGTGTGTGTGTGTGTGTGTGTGTGTATGTATGTGTGTGTGTTTGTGGTTTCGTGGTTAAGCATCCCTGGGTTTAATCCAGACTACCTACCCCCTGCCCCAATTTTTTTTTTGAAAGCCCACATCCCATCTCATCAGTCTGGGGTGGTGCCTAGGTGTGGGGATTTGTTGAAGCTCTTGGATTTATTGCAGCAAAGTTCAAGAACCTCTGGTTTAAACTACTTGGTCCTCCTCTGACAGTGTTTAGCATTCTCCATATTGGTGTAATTGTAATCTTTGGTCAGATTGAATAACATTCTATTTGTCAGGGAGGAGAGAAGTGTGGTTTCACCTACAAACAAGGACCAGTCAGGTCCTGGTAAAGCAACGAGGGGGTCAAGTCCTGCGTCTAAAGTGGGTGAGGGCACTCCCCCACCCCCACCCGGCCAGCCAAGGGCCTAGCCCCCCCCCCCCCATAATCCAAGTTCGCTGAGAAGTTCAGGGGGGTCTAACTGTGCATTGTGTATACAAGTGAGGCAAAGGTGAGCACTTGGAGCTCTGGTCCACGTGGGTTAACCTTAGAGTCAACCTAACAGTCTCTCTGGAGTCCAAATCGCAGAGTGGCAGCTGTTCCCGAGTAGGCAGAAAGGAGCGTGCAGGGGATGCGGGGCAGCCTCCAGAGTTGGGCATGCAAGTCTCTGCGCCAAGACCCAGGTCTGCACGTGGCGCGGTGGGGGCGGCGGTTCTGGGGCACGCAGTGGTCGGTGGTGTGGACTACAAGTCCCGACATGCCTCGGGCAGGGGTGCGCTTGCACWGGAGCGGGGCTGGAAGGCCAGGGCCAGGCGTGCGCAGTGGTTGTTGGGAGTGGCGGGGCGGGTCTTCCCCGGCTGTCATCTGTGGCCCCCGGCGCTCGGGCAGGGGTGGCCGTGTCTATTGGCGGAGAGGCAGGCAGGGCGGGTCGCCACGAGCTGCTGCGGGCGAGGCTGAGCGGGTGGAGGCCGGCAGCCGGCCGGGGAGGCACAGTCTGGGCTGCTGCATACCGGTCTGGCCATGGCAGCGGCACCTCTGAAAGTGTGCATCGTGGGCTCGGGGAACTGGTGAGCGGAGGCGGGCTGGCGGCGCGGGCTCCGCCTCCAGGAAGCCCCTTTCCCTGGCGGTCTAGAGCTGCGCTCCCCGCAGCAGCGTGGGCACCGGGCACCTCGCGCAGGGAGGCGGGGTGGGCGACCTCGGGGCCAGGCTGGGCACTGAGCGCCAGGGGAGGCCGCACCGAGGTCCTAGCCTGGGAATCTCTGGGCCCTCGTGCCCGCGGGGGCAACGCAGACCGAGGGCACCGCGCGCCCATGGGCACCTGTCCGCTCCTAGGTGTCCGCGCGGCGAGCGCACAGAAACCACCTGCTCACCACGCCCTGATGTTTTGCGCAATATTCTGAGGTCGTTCTCAATTCTCCCTACCGATCGCCTGGGTCGAGGAATTGAAGGAGGCCCAAGAATTAGTGTAGTTTTGATGTTGGGCAAACCGAAGCACAGAGGGCTTGCTATTCGGGTCTCTGGCGGGGCAAGCTCTGCCCATTAAGGTATGGTTCTTATCTCCGCTTCTGATAACGTCCAGTATCTTAGTAACGTGGCATCAGGAAGAAGATCCAAGTTCCAACGGGCCTTGTTTCCTGGGGACCTTGAGAGTTCTTCTATGGGGAGATGTTTGCAAAGCTTTGCATTTCCAGGGCTTGATTTGACTTTAACCTTTATAAAGCACTATGTGCAAGGCGCTCTTGCACTTACTTTACACGTGTCAGTCCTTGGTAGCAGCCTTTATCGAACTCACACGGTGTGATTCTTTGGTGTGTTTGGGTGAATGCAGAGGAGCATGGGGAGGAAAGGAGGCAGAATATAGCCTTGGCATTTTCAAGCTCTTTATCTTTGCTTCACTTCTCTTCCCACTTCTGAGGGAGTGGTAACAGAATCATTTGGAGTCACTGTGCCCTTTCCCTTTCAGTGCGTTTGTTTACCTGTGTTTCTGTGGCCTGACTCACATCCCAGTTCAGCCTTCTAGAAGTGCTGCAGGCATGGGCACATGGTATTTGGTCTCTGACTTACTTTTTTAAGACAGACAAAAATACTTCTCTGAAGAAACCTGAACCTGGTTTTCCACTTTTCCATCCCATCAAAGGATGAACTTTCTCTGAACCCCTATTGCTGATCTCTGTCCATGCACTGAAATGATTTAATTATTGGTCTCTACTCCTTCCTCCCCCACTTGAGATTGAACTCAGGGGTGTTCTCCCACAGAGCTACATCCCCGTTCCTATTTAATTATTTAGAGGCAGAATCTTGCTAAGTTGGGAGGCTGGCCTCAAACTTGAACGTGTGATCTTTCTACCTCAGCTTCCTGAGTAGCTAGGATTATAGGCCAGTGCCACCCAGCTTCCCTGCCCAGCTCAAGGCTGACATCTACCTTAGTGCCCTCCAAAATGCTAAGTAAATGCTAAATCAATGTCTGAAAACTATTTATTTATTTATTTAATTTTTGGTGCTGGGGATCAAGCCCAGGTCCTTGTGCACGCAAGGCAAGCACTCTACCAACTAAACTATATATCCCCAGCCCTGAAAACTACTTTTTAATTTTTATTTTTGGTGCTGGAGATAAGCCCAGGGCCTATCCTATGCTAAGCACATATTGTACCTTTGAGTTATACCCCATCCCCCAAAGTAATTTTAAACCTCCTATTGTATTTGATTAGGAGCTCATTTACTTTTTTTGTGTATGTGTGTGTATAGTGCTGGGGATCAAACCCACAGCTTCACACATAGTAGGCAAGCACTCTGATACCCCAGATCTTTATTTTTTATATTTGTTTTTTAGTTGTAGTTGGACACAACACCTTTAATTCACTTGTTTATTTTTGTATGTGGTGCTAAGGATTGAACCCAGGGTCTCAATCCTGAACCCAAGTGCGAGGTGAGTGCTCTACCCACTGAGCCACAACCCCAGCCCCCCACCCCAGACCCTTTTTTTTTTTTTTTTTTTGAGCCAGGTCGTTGTTAAGTGGCTGAGGCTGGCCTTGAACTTGTGATCTTCCTGCCTCAGCCTCTTTACAGGAATTACAGGTTTTTTATAAACTAAAAGGTACAGTGAAACATCTCCCATCCACTTTTGTTCCCCCAGGAAGCTTCTGAAGGRAAATCAGTGTTGATCTCTTCTGACCTTTCGGGAGGAATTCTGTCAGACACAAGTGAATGTTTATATGTGTTCTTTTTCTCCCTTTATTCTACAAATCAAGAGTACTGGGCACTTTTTTTTTTTCAACCAACAACAGAAAGTCGTGCACGTTTCATGAAGTCAGTACCTATCCAGTGCAGAGCTTCATTCGGAGGTTTCAGCTTGACTTTGCCAATTTGGGTCTCAAGGTCACTTCAATAAGATGTCAGCTGCCGTGTTGGACATGCCACTGGAAAAGCACCCATTTAGCACATGTTCTTTTAAAATTAGTTTCCTCTCCTATAAAATTCCACGGATGACAGCCCTCTTTCCTAATTTAGAAGGTGCAGGTAAAAGTGGCACAGCTTTGCCATGCTGCATTTGAGCCTGAGTGATAGTAGTGAAGCAAACCTCCTTACCCTCCACTGAGATTTGGCTGCAAGCCCCTGGCTTCCTCATTCTGATGTACTTGACTGTTTTCTTGGCCCACTCCAGCCTGGGGAAATGGACTAGAACTTGGCCAGTGACTCTGAAGCAGAGCCATTGAGGAAGAAGCCCATAGTTTGGGCTGGGTGCCTGGCTTCATTAATCACAGGATCAGACGGGAACAGATGTTGGCATCTCTGCCATTGCCTTGGTTGGGTACAGAGCCACTCTAGTCCTAGAGAGAGGATCACAGCCTCCCCAGAGAAATTCAGGGACTTAGGAGCTGAGCTCAAGCCATAGAGCCCCCAAAGGGTACATGGAGTGTTCAGTTCTGGTTCAGTAGATATTGGAGTGTTTTTCCCAAGTAGTTACTGTATTCTTTACAGCAATACACTAGACWGAGTCCCTGCCAGTAGGAAACTTACCTTCAGGGCTTGGAAGATAAGATCAAGAGAAATAAAATGTGGAATGGAGATTTGTCACAAGGTTAAAAGTTACATTTTAAATAGTATTTCTTAAAGAGTGCATTTTCTGAAGACCACTTGCTCCTGAATTACCACTGAAATTAGATTTGCTGAATCATATTCCCTGAGGGTAGGAAGATTTTTTTCCCTAAGGGACTTTAGCCTTTCATTAATAAAATATATCTCCAGATCTGGTCCCTGTCTCAGGAACCTAAATGTTCCTTGAGCTATATTTACCCTGGGGACTTTGAAGTAGATCCCTCTGCTTATATAAATAAAGGTGTTGTTACTTATAAGCTCATAGTTGAAAGGCAGCTGTAACTCACATGGAGACTCCCTCAGGTCACCCGTCATCTGTGGCAGGGAATCCAGCTGGCTTGCCAAGGCCCTTCAAGGAGGAAGGAACTGGGTGGGAAGGTGGGAAGGTAAAGCCAGTTGTGTAAGATGGCCTAGTCCTGTCCTTTGGTCAGCCTTTTCCTCCAGATAATTCAGGGACAGAAGGCTGGTGTATCTGGCTGAGCCCTTTGGTCCCACTCATTGTGAGGGACAGGGAAGGGTCACTTAACCTGCCTGACTTTCCATGGCCCTGTCACTTGTAACTTGGCAAAAACAAAAGCTTGGCAGATTCTTCCAAAGATGTTACAGTTTCTTTCTCAGCCCCTGTGAAGATCACCCAGATACAGTGCAAACCATGGTTCTAGAATTGAAACCTGAGTTATATTTACTGCCAAACCTCTGTAATGGGAGCATATGTCCAAAGACATATCCCCAGCCTCTTTTGTAAGGCAGGGTCGTGCAGTAGGGTGAGGGGCCCAGATTTCCACCCTAATCCCCTGTTTGGCAGCTTCAAGGCCTTGGCAATTGGCTTCTATGAATGATTGCTTATACTATTGGTACCTGCTGTCTAGGATTATGTTTAGAATTGTTGCTAAAAGCAAAGAAGATCAGGGAGGAGATTAGGAAGAAGGAGGTTAGGGAAAAGAAGCTCAGGGAGGAGAAGGTTGGGAAAAGGAAAAAGAAACATGAAGTTTCAAAGCCACAAGAGATAGAGCCAAGGCGTCAAGTGAAACCTTGTTACAGGATTACTTGAGATGATCCAGGGAGAGTAAATGGTGGCTAGAGCTCATTCAGTATCCGCTGCTATTACCGTTATTAGTTTCATCATTCTTGACCGGAGCCATCCCAACATTAAGTCACAAGATGGACCAGATTGGAATCTGGCCAAGTAGTATAGGCCGAGGCTGGGAGAGGGGACAAGAAGAGTGACTGCTACACAGATGGAGGAGTTTCCCCAGGAGTGACCTTGTTTTCACATCAGCCCACAGCCTGACATCTTCCTCAGGCTGAAGGGTCAGGGTGAGTGCTGGCCCTCTTTGCACTGATGCCGGAAGCAGGACTTAACTCTGCTAGAACCTACAAAGTGCACCACCTGAGCTTATCATTCACCTCTGCCACCCCTTTGCCTGTGCTACTCCATTTCTGCCATGATGCATGCTACCCAGAGATCTAAGAAACAGTCTGAGCAACTAATTTAGCTCCTCTGTGGTCAGAAGTAATTGCTTCCTTCCCTGTCAACAGGCCACACTGACACTCTTCTGCTTTGGGAGCTGGAGGGAGTTTGATGACAGGGTAGGTTAGAGCTGTGAGGATATTTAGGGTCCCCTCCTGGTCTGGGGCAAGAACATTCATACACATATAGCATAATTTAAAAAAGGAATTGATGAAGCCAGGCTGTGGTGGCAACTGTATAGCTGTAATCTCAGCAATTCAGGAGGCCAAACCTGGAGGATCACAAGTTTGAGGCTAGACTCAGCAACTTGGCAAGACCCTGTCTCAAAATGAAAAACAGGGGATATATATAGCTCAGTGGTAAAGCAGCCCTGGGTTCAAACTCTAATACAAAAACAAACAAAAGAAGTGGCACTTAATGAAGGAGTTTCTATCACCTCCCCAACCTATTCTAACATAAAAATCACAAGGACTACTCTAGAAGTAGGAGTGCTGTGTTTTC